TTCTCATCACTGGTTCTGTCAATTGGAAAAAAGCACTAAACTTGGCCAACATATTTGGCTATGACAATTTTCAAGCAGGTGTGGGCAGACTGAACAGATTTAGGGGTTGCCACAAAACTGCTTTGAAAGCAGTCTGCAGAGAGGATAGTGACAGATTAATGAATGGTCTAGGAATAGATAAGGTTAATGAGTGGCACGTAGGGGAAATTATAAAATGGATTGCTGACTACAGATGATATCTTTAACGCTGACGAGACAGGAGTATTTTTCCAGGTGCTTCCCCAGACCATGCTGGCTGCTAAATTGGACCGCTACAGAAGGGACAAGAAAGCAAAGCAGTGACTGACAGTACTCTTGTTGCAATGCTTCAGGGACTGAAAAAGTGAGACCATTGATTGTTGGTAGGTCAGCCAACCCACACTGCCATAAGAATGTCCATTACCTCCCTTGTGATTATTGAGCCAACCAGTGGGTATGGATGACACAGGATCTGTTTAATGAGTGGCTGATGCAAATGGATACCAGGATGAAGTAGGCGGAACGCTGGCTTCTCCAGCTGATAGACAACTGCTCCACTCACAACATGCTTCCATGCTTGGAAAGGAGTCAAATTGTACTGCCATCCTGCAGCCACTGAATGTTGGCATAATTCACACCATGAAAGTGATGTACAGGAGCCACCTTCTAAAACAGACCCTTCTCAAGCTCAACAGCAGTGAGGGTCAAGGAAAAGGACATCAAGCAGACAACTGACATGATTGCTGCAGCATGGTGGCCAGTCGAGCAGTCCAAAGTGGTGATGCTGGCAGAAAGCAGGCATCATTCCTATGGAATTGACAGATCCTGACAAAGCAGCAGCAGCAGCCAGTGAACCAGATATTGCCCTTAAAAAGTTGTGGTATTCCAGGGTTATTGCCATCTGGGTCCCAAATGAAGTAAATTCCCAGGACCTTGTCACTACAGATGATGACCTCATCGTCTTGCAGGAGCCGATGGACATAGAGGTCATCCAGGCATAGTGGCTGGCAAAAATACTGATGAAGATGGGAGTGAATCTGGGCTGGGGGAGGGGGCAGGCATCGCTACCACGGCAGCCAAAATCAGCATCACAGAGGCCAACTCAAGTGTACAGAAACTTAGATGGTCCCTTTCCACTTGCGTAGGCATTCCTGATGCAGTTTTTGGACAGCTAAATGGCATAGATGAATATTTAATGAGAAGAGTGACACAAATGTTGATTCCAGAATTGCAGATTTCCTCCAGACAAAATAATGTAGGCATTATTTTGCCTCTTCACTTTGGGAGATGTAGCTTATAAAACTCTTTAAGTCTTTAGATTTCTTTAGATAGGATATTGAACTCAAGTTTTAAGCAATATTATTGTAAGATCATTTCTCTGAAGTAATCAGGAAACTTCCTTGAATGGAATTTGGAAATAAAATTTGACTAATATGTGTATTCTCTTTCAATTAATCTAGTGACTTCCGAACTTGTCTGAACCTTAAGATCACTTGAGGATCTTTTTAAATTTTCGAAAGCCCAGACCTTATCACAAACCAATTAAATAATGATTTCTGGTGATGGGTCATAAGTATTAGCAGTTTTTGAAGCTTCCCAGGTGATTCCAATGTGCAGATAAGTTTGGGAACTACCAGACTAACCACAGGAAGATCAAACACACTGTGGGGCCTGGAGCCAACTTCTTCCCAGTAAGTTTAGCTTATTGGTTTCCAAATTTTAGTTCACTTCAGAATCACCTGGAAGACTTGCTAAAGCCCACATTGCTGGGCTCTGCCTCCAGAGTTTGTGATTCATTGGGTCTGAGGTGGGGCCTAAGAATTTGTATTTCTGACAAGCTCTCAGTTGATGCTGATGCTGATGTGGTCCAGGATCCACACTTTGACAAACACTGGTCGAGCTACATTCTAGCACTTTTAAGTTGGCCACCTGAATAGTCTCCATCACTGTCACACACACACACAAAATCTGTTCTTATTACAGGACTATTAACTCCCTTCTGCTAATTTGGTAACTTTAGAACCTTCTTAGCTATTCTCCTGAACTGCTCTTCCAGTTAACTGAGAATTCAGTAGAGGTATGTTCGTCTGTGCCCAGAGAATTAACAGGTGCCATCTCGCCTATTGAAATGTCTTGTGGTGCTTCAGGCTTATTATTAATAGGGAGCTGAGGTACAGGGGAATAAGGTGCATTAAGGAGGAGGCATGATACAGTCTGGGAGGCAGTTATACTCTCAAGAAAATCCTGTTAATCAGGATCGCGGGAGAAAACAAAACCCAGTATACCTCTCAATTTCCAGACAAGGTGAGAGGAAAGTTTGTCACGAGATGGCTGTGTGAGAGTGTTTGGATTGTCCCCTATTTGGGTGTTTCACACTGTTCCTCTCCACCCCTATAATCCAGGCTGGACCATGTAATTAAGATGAGGGCGCATTATGTTTGCCTTCACTAAAATTACTTAGTAAATAACCTTTATTCCTTTGGTGTTTGTTCTTCAGAGAAGTCTGCTAGAGCAGAGTTGATTGTAAATGATTTAAAATTGTATAAATTTATAGTCAGATTTATATTAAAATTTTTCTCCTATAGAGAAGGCATTCTCAATATCCTTTATAACATGGGTATTCCTAGTAAGTCAGATAAATGTCAGTTTCATTTTTTAACAGGTACCCATAATACCTGTTAGCGTTGTAGTATAGTTTTTTCCCCCCTTCAGGTTAATTTTGTGGCTGTTTCAAAAACCCATAGCAATTCAGTTATTCCTTCGTTGAAACATGTATAAACAGATTGATTATAGAAAATACAGCTTCCACGTTGGACAAAACAATCACAAGAAACAGCAGATGTTTAAATGAATGTTTTTGAAAGCATATTTTGGCTATTTTTCCTTTTAACAAACTAGTATAATTTGAATTAAAGGTACTATACCTATTTACAACTTGTAACGCTTGGAAGAGGAAAACAATGTCTTCTGGCTAAGTCCTGTGTTTCTGTCTCATTGTTGGCACCTTAATTGCTTTCAGCATCTTGTGTCAGGATAACTGACTCAATTTCTAATTTCTTCTCTCACCTTTCTTTTGACATCTGTTTTGCACATAATGTTAGATCTATTGGCATCATGCCATTTCCTGTGCTCAGTTGTCTGTGGTAGTTCTCAAAAGCTTACACATAGACACAGAAAACAGTGTTGTGATAGCCAGAGGGGAAGGGGGGTAGGGGTAAGTGGAGGTGGGCAAAGGAAGTGGGGGGATGGGGACCAAAAGAGACTTTGCTTGGGGTGATGGGTGCATGATACAGTATCTAGATGCTTTGTTGAGTTGTACACTGGGAACCTGTATGATTTTGTGAACCAATGTCACCCCAATAAATATTTAAGGCAATCTGCTGTATTTGATTAAAAGCTTAAAATTCTATTAATAAATTTGTGACCAATGGAAAAAAAAAATACTACATTATTCAGCTGAATTTTAGCACCCTCTAGAGTTGACTGCAATCTGCATCTCTAACTTGGTCAGTCCATACAATTCAGCGTGTGTGCGGCATGCCCTAACAGGGCATTGTCTTCTTTCACTCCATACCCATGTCTGCTAGCTTGCCTTTGCCTGAATGGCTAGTCCTGCTCTCTACCAAGCCCGGCCCCATATATTTCAGCTTTTCTTGAAGACTCCAGTACCTGCTCCACCCTTTTATCCCTCAACAACTCAGTACTACTTGTCTCTAGCATTCTTAACTTTTAAGTTGAGGACTTAAAAGTTTTTATCAATGTTCTGTGGCTCCTTAACTAAACTGTAAGTTCCATGAGAGCAGGGATAAGCCAGCCTTTTGTGATCTCAGCGGTGTCTAGCACTGTGCTGGGCACATAATCACTTCAATAAACACTTGCGTATAAATACACACATGTAATGTGTCAAAGCCACCTTTTTAAGCTGCATGCAGCACTGATTCTACTAGGAAATGACTTGGAGATAAGGTAGAATCGTCCTCTATTTAAAAGGGTTTGCAAAAAGTTGTCATGAATATCATTGCCTAAACTATTACTACAATCTAGATTATAGCTTGCTCTTTGATAACGAAAAATTCTAATATATAGTTAAACCTGTTTCCCTCCACTGAACATCATTGAGGGATTCTCCACTTATGCACACAAAACTTTAGTATGAAAGGCTTTGTCTAAGTGCCTTACATTAGTATTCAGTAAAAAAATATATATATATATGTATAGAAAGCTCACATTCTTGACTCATTTAACATATATAAATTAGAGCCCAGTAGATGGAAATCGTATCTAAAAGAGAGCTTTCACAGCCTGGTTTACATTGGCTAAACTTTTGATTTCTTTTAGGCATTCAGGTTGTTTGATGCTTTATTTTTTACACTAAAACAGGTTGATACGCATTTTTAGTCTGCTTTCTTCATCATGCCCTCTCTGGCTTCTCCCTGCCTCTCTGGTCCCTCCTACCCAACTTGAGGGCTTAGTTTTGCCCCAGTTGACCAATCTACTCCATAGGCCAATATTCCAGGAGTAGGCACCTACCTCATTTGTGCTGCCATGAGAATAAAAAGGTACACCTGACACAGACTAAGTGTTCTATAAATGCTATTGTCACTGCTACCCATCCCTGTTTAGAACTTTACTAGTACCATCTAGAGACAGGGACCTGTCTTACCAGCCCTTTCTTCCACTAACAGGGAACCATTCAGCCTGATAATAGATAAAACTCTAGGGAGTTTTCTTTGCCCTATTCCTAAGAAGCGCTCTTTAATTAAAAAGGAAGGAAGCTGGCAGTGCCCTCAGGGGTCCCCTGGATCTGTTTCTTGCTTCAATATTATTTGGACAGGACAGGTCTAGGGAAACCCGTTCTTGCAGCCTCTGACCACCCTCCAACTTCTTTTCCAGTCACCACCTTTGGAACCATCTCAGCTATTCTTGGCCTCTGAGACAAGCAAACATCATTTCTGAGCTTAACATCTTATTGCTGAGCAACCATGAGCTCCCAAATTTGTCAGAATTATTCCACCGAGGTGGAGGCTGCTGTCAACCACCTGGTCAACCTGCATCTGCAGGCTGCCTACACCTACCTCTCTCTGTGCTTTTATTTCCACTGCCAAGATGTAGCTCAGGAGGGTGTGGGCCACTTCTTCCAAGAGTTGGCCGAGAAGAAGCAAGAGGCAGCCCAGCGGCTCTTGAAGATGCAAAACCAGCGCGGTGGTCGAGCCCTCTTCCAGGATGTGCAGAAGCCTTCCCAAGATGAGTGGGGTACAACTCAGGACGCCATGGAAGCTGCCACTACCCGGGAGAAGAATCTGAGCCAGGTCCTTCTGGATCTGCACACCCTGGGTTCTACCCACACAGACCCTCACCTCTGTGATTTCCTGGAGAACCACTTCCTGGATGAGCAGGAGAAACTCATCAAGAAGATGGACGACCACCTGACTCACCTCCACAGGCTGGCTGATCCCCAGTATCTCTTAGAAAGGTTCACCCTCAGGCATGACTAGGAGCCTTTGGAACCCAGAGGTCTTTGAAGGGCTCCTTTGCGTCCCTGCATGTCTGGCTTCTGCCCGAGCCTCTCCCTGAAACCACTAGGCATTCTTTTAACCACCCTGGAGCCCTCTCCCATGCTTTGGACCAAATGTTAACAATGAAGTTCTTTGCAGCCAAACAAAAAAAAAAAAAGCTAAGAGTTATTGATTGCCTACTATATATCAAACAGTTTCACTTAATATTTCTAGAAAAATCATATCCTAAAAGGACAAATAGGCTCAGATAATGTTATTCCAAAGTTGCAGACCTATTAAAGAACTATTATTCTTGCTGCCTGAGACCAGTTCTTTGAAGTGGAAATACGGTAGCATATTCTGGCCACCAGAGGGCAGAGGTAGACTGCATAAGGGAGACAATTTGGCCAAGTGCAGCAGCCGTAGGAGCAGTCACTTGTAATTTCTCTGACATGTAGAGATTAAGAGGAAAAGTACTGCAAAAGGAAGACTGAAAACTGTCCTTACCCCTGTACCCACACTTCCACTTCTTCCATAGAGTTGAGAAGCAGAAAGGGGAAGACATTTGGGAGGAGGCTTCACTGCAGGCATGGGGAGATGGTAGGGGCACTGGGGTAGTTACTTCTCACAGTCTTGTGCTCCAGTCAGGAATTCTACTCCCTACTCTCTTAGTCTATAAGGTGTTAACCTCAATGGACTGATGGGAAGAATGTGACTCAAAATTCACTTACAAAATTCAAAGGTTGGGCAGTAGGAAAACATGAGTCAGATTTGGGTTTCTAATTCCAACACAGTATGTAACAGAACACAGACAACATGAAAACTGGAAGGGTCCTCAAGCAATCTAGTCCTTCCTTCTTCACTGATGGAAAAAAATGAGTCCCCAAAGGGTTAACCTACTCCTCAGGACCACAAGCAAAATAGGAAAGAACTGGGTTTCTTTATGCTTTATGGCTTTCTATAAGGACAGATCCTTTTGTTACAGGTGGGGAAAATGAATGATTGAATCACTCTCCAAAGGTAAAAAGATGGTATTTTAAAGCTCACTGGTGACTAGGTGTATTTCTTAGTTAGAACCCCCTTGCAGTGAAATAATTCAGACACAGAATATTTTATTAGCATAACAATTTATTAGCAGACAAATGAAATAACACCTCTAGATCTCAAAACATATAGGATCTCAGGTAGTAAATACCATGAACATATCTTTCCAGAAGAAAGGGATCCGCTATTAACCCACTCTCCCTCTCCTGCAATAGGCTGCAACCATCACCAACTCATCCTCATCCCACAGAGGGCTAAGCATGATTTCTGTGGAATAGCATCAAGGCACTTGCTTTAATTAAAAAGATACATATGGTATAAAACATGTTCCTAAAAGTCATTGGCCTTGAATAAATGAAAAATAAAAAAGAGTATACTTTTTAGTGAATAGACAAGACTCAGAATTTGAGTTCATTCATGTATAACCTTGATATTGTCTTGATTTGTATGTAAAATTGCAGAGGAGACCAAAAAAAGGGTCACATTTTATATAGATTTCTTTGTTCACACTAATTTTTGAGAAATCATGGCAGCATCAGGAGTCAAACAGTAATTTCCTAACTGATTTAAATTAAAAGGCAACAGCTGTTTGACTTCAAGTATTATATATTATTATTCTAGGGATGGGGAACGTGGTGGGGGAAGAGAACACCTTAAAATAAGTTTATTAAACCTGCAGTTAAAAGTCCTTTCTGGCTTAGGCTGCTTGCCTTTGGTTTTTTACCAACTAAAAAACTTTCAGCCAGAAAGGTAGTTATTGATATTTTGTAATAAGATTGTGATTATTTAGCTTTTTCAGACCCATAATTCAAGTCTAAGAAAGGTTTTATACATGGTTCCAGACTTATAAACATGGTATCTCCAGTAAAGGCATTTGGGGTCCTTCATTATTCCAGTTTTCATAATTAAGTATCTCCTTCCTACTTTACATCACTAAGAGAAAAAGAAAATACACGCCAAAAAGAAAAAAACCCTCATGATTTAGTATAACGCTTATTTAACTTTCTTAACTTTATTTAACATGTTTACTTTAGAGTGCAAAACCCTTTAAAAAAAATAGTTCTTGTCAGGATAAAAATTACCTTATAAAAATAAATGTCCCTCACTCCCACAACTAAATTCTCCATTCCTAGTTAGTACTGTATTTTTTTTAACTAAAATATACCTTTAACTTACAGTATTTCAATAGCATTTTACTTTAATAATAGGCTATGATAAATCAGCTGGTATGTTATTTTGGCCTGTTCCATTATAATTTTCATTCATGTTATTAGCACTCAAATTAATGATTCCATTCATGATTATCAAAAATCTTTATACAAAGAAAACAGCCAGATTACTTCAGAGCCTAAAAGCTTTCTAGGGCCAATTTCCCCCTTTTGTAATTTGTTAGCCCAGCTTCAAATAAGGCATCACTCAAATAGATTAAAAAAACCATTAGAGGAAAAAAGAAGAGAGAAACGCTAAAGAACAGAAAAATTAAATGAAGTCTAAATCCTAGCGACTGGGTTTTTACCACGTCCCTGTGGGATCTTTCCCTGAATAGACCAGGGGCATCCATGCCTCCTTGTTTGCCTCAGTGGCCTGCCTCCTGTTCAGACCTTGGTCCAGGCTCAGCTCAGCTCCTCCATAAAACACTTCCAAGTGCCAATGGATGTCATCCAGTTAAGTTACCATACAACCCGCCTTTCTGGATTGGGTATCATAGTCCAAGCACCTGGCACACAGCCCTAGACTCCAGCACAGGTCCTCAGGAAGTGTCTGAGGAATTATCTGCATTGATGCAAAAAGAACCTATAGCTCATCTATAGCACTACATAGAAGAAAACAATTCATTAAAAACATTAGTAAGGATCACAGACCTTGAATTTGTCATTATAAATCCTACATTCAATTTTAAGTTCCCGAGAAATTCACTGGAGCCTTTTTCTCAGTTTTATATTAAGATCAGAGCTAACACCCAGACAATGTGTTCTTAAATGACAAATTACTAAGGGAGTACAATAAATGTTTAAAGATCACCATTTACCATACTGTAAATTTAGTAATGAATTTGGCTTCAAAGTCTGCTACTGTTTAAAAGCTAAGTTAGACTATCCAAATCTTGTTTTCCTTTGGTCCTCATTAAAAATTTAAAAAAGTAATTGTGAACTAGACATCTGTCAATTTTACCAACTATCAGAGGTTCACATAGTATTGCAGTCACTCATGCCTCACAGTAGGTCAGCCTGGGCTTTTGCCCCAACCCTGGCTACCACGTGATCCTCAGCTCTTTCATCTTTGGTGAATCTGTACCCCTCTCCTTCTAGAAACAGAACCCAGTTGTTTTTGACTTTGCTTTCAACTAAGGTGTGGCTTCTAATCCTGACATTCCTACTGCTGGGTGGGACTAGCCAGAGATTGGATCCTATTCAACCAAGTCCCTGTTTTCTTCCTTGTTCAGTCAGAGATGGTCTTTTCAATGGTCTAATGCCCTTCAACTCTCCCTTAAATATTAATCCTCAACCCCTCTTTGCATGGCCGCAATCCATCCCTCTGAACTGTACAAACCTAAAGATAAATAAGGTTGCAAAGTTTTAACCCATTAAGTGTATACACAATACATTTCAATAAAACAATTTAAGAAATTCAGAATTTTGTACATTCTTCAATAAGCATTGAGAAAATGTTTCATTTAGATACTAAAGTTTAGAGTAAACAAGACATTTTTGTATCAATAAAGTTTGTAATATATCACCTAATGAACTATAAAAGTCCAAGGCTTTGAGCTAGAAAGCAAATGAAAACATTAGTTTTGTTGGTGAATTATGCTTTGGTTTCAGGTTTCATTTCTTTAAATACCAGCAAAAAATGGTGAAAGTGTGTACACATACACAGACCTCAACCCAAGCAGAAGGGTAAGATACAAATTCTAGTGAAATCTTAAATGTTTTTATAAGTGGCTACCAAAAGCAGAATCTCGTGTTTGTTTGGATGGGAGAGGTATAAACCAGAGCACAGAATGCTCCAGAGCTGTTTATATCCATATATAGAGAAAAATGTTAAGTAAAGTTCAAATTCTGTTACTCCATTCTTCTAATGGGTTTTTCAAATTCTTTGGACTCTTTTTTTTTTTTCCTTTGCTCTGCCAGTGTTGGTTATAGAGTTGTCTTAATCATGCACTCTTAATCTGCTCTCACATGGCATCCAGAGGTGTCCAACATTTTGGCGTCTCTGGGCCACGCTGGAAGAAGAGTTGTCTTGGGCCACACATTTAAAAAATTGCGACACATAATCACAAAAAAAAATTGCATGTTTTAAGTTAATGTACGATTTTGTGTGAGGCCACAAACACAGCCATCCTGGGCTGCAGGTTGGACACCCTTCTAGACATTTATAATGGTCTGGATTCAAATCTGGCTTGGAGGACGAAGGCAAGATGGACTAAAAACAAATGATCGACCAAGATACTATGATTTTACTATTACCATTTATAAAACTGAGTAGAATGGGCAAATATTAGCTAAAGACAAAAACCAAAAACCACAACTACAAACAGGAGTTAACATTTCTGAAATTCTAGACTTACATTGTAAAAGGATGTTAAAATTCAGGAAGCTATTACATTTAATCATGATGTCAATCACCTCAAAGACAGATATCCAGCTTTTCTACAGAGAAAGTGCTTTAATAACGGAAAGGTATTTTCCATCTAAACAGATGGGCACAGCTCTACCAGGAGAAAAGCAACACTTGCAGTTGATGGATGCCCTACACTTAAGAGTTTGCTTCTCATAAATACTTAAATTGTTTAGGATGTAGGAGCAGATTAAAAAATCGTTTTGCACTGTTGCAAATATTATTTTCTTTTCAATGGCGTGACTAAGTGTTTCAATCTCACATGACTTAGTCTCCTAGTCCTAATTTTGGAAAACCTGTGTTTTTTCTCACCTATCAAGGTCCAGGTACAGAACTATAAGGTTTCAAAGTCAGACATTCTTGCTTTTCAAAAGCAGTTCTTCCTATAGGTACAACCTGTGGTCAGCTATCACAAATAATGTTTACCACACTTATTATTAATGTTGGGTTGTATGAATGTGATGCTTCTCACTCCTCTTGCATGAGTTTTCGGTGGCCCAAAGAGTTAAAGCTGTCACTGTCACCAATATTCACTGTAAGTCAATACAGTTCTTGGCAGTAAGCATTAGCTTTGTTTACACTAACACATCTACAAATTAATTATTGATGTTCCTTTGGAAACTTTTGTGCATTCTTTTCTGTTGGTTACAATAATTTTTCTTGCAAAGGAAAAATGAACAGTAACTTCTCTTTGAGAAAGACTGTCAGCCCCCAACTGATCCTAGCTAAAATGCCATGGGAAGGGGAAAAAAAACCCCCTGCTCAGTAAACAAATTTTAAGGGAACTGCTGTCAAGTATTCCTATGTGCAATGTGTCCTTAAGGGTTTGCCTCCAGCTCATTTTAAAATGCTGCACAGAGTCGCAGGGTCAGCATTCTGCCTTTTATCTGGCAAGCTTGTCGCTGCTAATCAGACATAGCAGTTCAGGACAGATTCCATGAAAAATACCCTAAATTACTGAAAGCTCGAATACGGTGTAATGGTAGAGAAATGCTCTGAAATAGGGATGGATAGAGATCACAGAAAAGACAGGGAAGATTCCCATTATTTTTGCTGATTATGAAGAGCTCTCTGCTTACCTACTTACCCTAAACAAAAAGGCATGACTGAAAACATCAGACGTATCACTAAGAGTGTTCTGTGCAATGGGAATCTGGCTGGTCAGATTTCACACACATGCCTAGCCATCACACTCCTGACAGGCCTGTGCCCACGCTTCCCTGCCTTACGGTGAGGAATGGTGCTTTCCTATTAAAAGCCGGAGACCCTACTGCCGTCCCAGGAGCAAAGAACTGGGTATGGAGAAGCACAAGTAAGAAAAAAACTTGTGTCATTATTACCTTGTACACCGGAGGCCTCTTGATCTGCTGGTACAAAAGCAGGCACCACATTCTTTCCGGGCCTCCTTTCCACTCTCTCTCCAAAGAGCCACATCACATAGGCTCCAGCATGTCTCATGTAAATGCCAACTTCATCCCTTTCACTCCTGGACATAGAAGAGTCCTAAAGTGTATCTCCCAAGAGAGGATGGTCCTTAAGTTTTAGGGCTACTTCACGGTCCAATTCAACAGATACTTAATTGCAAGAATACCTCCTCTCTGCAAGAAAGCTTGAAACTGCAATATTTTCTTCTACTTGATTCTGCCTAACTAATAAGCTCTGCTGCATTTGTGTACCTACAAAGGCCACCAGCTTTGGAGGAAGAATAGTGCCTAGCCAACAAGTTAAAATTTCAAGTATGCAAGTTGCTACTGGCTAGACATCATTCTTCCTTCCACCTACTTATTCAATTGATCACTAGACTCAGACCATTGGGAATACATATGCCTTTCTGATTTTGAGATTCTTCTGCAAAAGCTATCGCTTCATGTACACTATAAAAAAGGTTTTCATCTTCCTTTTGGCAATACTCTCCACGGGCCAGGGAATCCCTCACAGAGGGATTGCACTGAGCCAGCAGGACTTGGATGCCAATGGCTTCATAGTCTCTGCGAACTTCTTTCAGGGTATGGATCCCTGCAGTATCTAAAAACTGGATGGCACTGCAGTCAATCACTACAGTGTGGAGTTCCAAGGGCGCATGAGAAAGTTGCACTGAAACTTCATCCTGGCTTCCACTCGGAGTCGCTGTTTCCTTCTTGGCCTTTTTCTTTGCAGCCTTCTTCTGAGCTGCCTTTACTAAGATTGGGTTGAGAGTGTTTTTGTATAAGGCAGATTTAAAACATTCTTTATTTATGTAGTAGAGAGGGGCTATGAAGCGGAAAATCTTGATGCCTGGCTTAGCCTGAAGGTTTTTGTAAGCAGACATGGATTCAAAAATGTCAGACTCTTCCACCAAGCCAAGCAACGAACTCTTTGGCTTCTGAGTACGGAGGATGACACAAAACATAGAAAAACAAACTCCAATAAGCAGGCCAATCTCAGTGCTTATCAGCGCAGATGACAGCATAGTAACAAACCAGATAACTGTATCCATTCTGCTAACCCGCCACATCTTGGGCAGATCCTTAAATTTACATAGAGCTCCCCGGAGATTTACAATAGTGATCACACCGAGGACACTTTTCTGAAGGGAATAGAATAAAGGAGCTATTACCAGGAGGACCAACAGAAGAACCAGAGCTGTCACCACACCAGAAAGCTGAGTTTGGCAGCCTGTTGACTCTTTAACCAACGTCTTTGCAAGAGCTGCGCTGTTACTAAAGCAGTGGAAGAATGAAGGGATGATATTGCAAAAGCCAATGGCATACATTTCCTGGTTAGCTTTGACTGTATAGCCATGCTTCTTGGCAAACATCTCAGAAAGTGATACTGTAATAGCAAAACCAATGATAGAAATAGCTATTGCATCTGTAGCCACACTAGGAATTAAGTTCCAGTCCGGTGCTTTGGGTGGCATAAACCCAGTAGGAATATGTCCAGCAATACTGGTATTGTATTTCTCATTCAGTTTCCCAAAGTGAGAGGCTAAAGTGGCTGCCACAACGACAATGAGTTCAGTAGGAATCGGCGCCTTAAGCTTGGACTTGAAGCGCTCGTTGAGTTCTTTGGTTGGCAAAAGAACCAAAAGGCACAAGAGGCTGGTGATGAGATCACAGACATTGGTCTTATGGATGTTTCTGAAGATATTAATCCAAGTAGTGATGAGCGAGCCCATGCCACTACTCCGAGGAAGGCTGAGCCCAAGGAGATACTTGGCCTGAGATGTAAGAATAGTGAAGGAGGCACCAGTGACAAATCCACTCAACAAGGCATCTGAGAGGTAGACAGAAACAAAGCCCACTTGAAAGAAGCCCATGGCTACCTGGAAGGAAGGAAATACAAGTGTTAAATATGAACAGAAAAGAGCCTCTAAACCCTTTATGACCCTGGCTGTTTTCCCATGGAGACACACCATCAGAGCATCACAGACAGTCACAACTAGAACAAATACCATCATGTATCAAACCTCTTATTTTAGAGACAGGGCTCACTTACTGACACAGAGGGCTAAGCACATGATTACTCATTAACCCAAATGAAGCAAGGATTTAGGATTCCTATCTTTTCAAACTCTTAAAACAACTCTCTGCCCACCACCCGCTCCCCCCGCCTCCTCCTCATCCAAGCACCAGATGGAGTGAGCTCCTCCTCCCCTTCCCTTATTGGTTCCAAATGCCTGTAATAGCGATTCAGTGCTGGCACTGACTCCTGGATGCCAAAGGGCAGGGCCATGGTGGGCAGGGCAGATCAGTGGATTCTACGGGAGACCCATGAAGAATTTCATTTCTAATTCTTTCTCCTGGCTCACAATATAAAATAGTGCTCCTCCACGTTTCCCCTCTGCAACAGTCCAAGAGAACCACTCTTTTTAGAAGTTCTAAAGGAAAAAGGAGGTGGTCATCCAGCAGAGGTGCCCAGCCCGTGGCCCACAGGCTACATGTGACCCAGGATCGCTATGACTGCGGCCCAACACAAAATCGTAAATTTACTTAAAACCTTTCTTTTGCTCATCAGTTTTCGTTAGTTTTTGTGTCCTTAACGTGTGGCCCCAGGCAGCTTCTCTTCTTCCAGCGTGGCCCGGAGACGTCAAAAGGCTGGACACCGCTGATCACAGCTTGAGAAATCCCTGTGCGTATCCCCTCCCCACCCCCGTCCTGTTGCCGGTCAGGCCTGCCTGTGTGCTGACTCCGCCAATAATCCACCACACATACTCTCAAGGAAAGCAGTGTTTCTCGACACATAAAATCAAGAAGTTGTGTTAGGTGGGTCTGGAGTCCCTTCCTGGTCTAAATTTTTGCAGATTTTATAATGAAAATCTGGCTGACCAAAACTCATTGGTTAAGAGGCAGCCTAGGGCTGAGAAAAGAGAAGCAGCCTTATCTTACCTAGAGAGTCAAACCGGGGTTTGAATTCTGGATCTACCCCTCACATGTCCTGAGCATTCAAGGGGTAGCTTTGATTACTGTGATATCGCAGACCCCTTGCAGAGCTGAGATTTCATACATAGTGATTTCTTTTGCTAGAAACCAGCACTCATTCCATTGTTCCTTACCTGATAAACTCCAGCCATAAAAGTTACGGTGCTGCCCACTGTAATGGCATAGCAACTCCTGTCACACAGCCTGTCTGACGTCTGGTCGAATGATGTGCTCCCATTCGAAACCATCCCTAAGGACGGGGCACTGTGGGCAGTGCCATAGCCAGCTCTGCTTAGTTCCCGGTCAACTACCTCACCAATCATAAGGCACAGTATTCCAAAAATGCCCACGGAGATGTGACGAGAAGTCCCCAATAGGAAATAAATTAGGCTGGCGAAAAAAGATGTGTACAGGCCATAGATTGGTTCCTGGCCAGCTAAAAGGGAATAAGCAATGGACTGGGGCACCAATAAGATGCCCACAATCAAGCCAGACATCACATCGCCTAAAATGTTTTTCCTCAGATCATACTTTGGGAGCCATCGCAAGACAGGAAGGAAGCCAAAAATCATATCTTTTGCTTTGGTTGGGCTGCACTGGCAAGCCTTCCGTAGTTTCTTGATGACGAATTTTTTAAAGTTGGTGTTTGATTTCTCTTGAGGTTCCATGTGGATCCTAGGATAATGTCTGCATTGCTTAGTGGTCTCAAATTGCTGGAAGTCAGTATTTGATTCCTTTTCAAGCTCCAAATGGATCTTTGACAGAGGACTGCATTGGCCATTTCCTTCAACAGAGTCCTTGGGTGAAACGTCATGTTGCTCTGCATTTTCCGAAGACATTTCTGGAGATAGATGCTTTAGCCTCCTAATCCAGAGAAAATAACAGAGTTAACTGATTAAGTAATTCTCAGCACTCAACATTCTGACAGCCCGACTCGTCATTCATGAGAGTTAAGAGTTCAGTTTTGGGTTAGGTATCTTATATTCATTTTCCTTAGTTGAGCCTCATTTGTCTTGATCAGGAAAAAAAAAAGAACCAGACCGTAAACAGCCAAGTCAAAGCAAATAATTCACTGGATACAGGACATCCCGACAGTATAAATCATTCATGGGGTTTTCTCCATCTCTGCCCAGATCCCCCTATAGTTTTTTCTCCAGGAAAGGTATGAGGATGACCTGTTTCCTCCTTCCTATATGCTACCAACTGTCTTCTTTTCAGGCTTTTCACTCCCTGATATACTGCAAAATAGGATCTGGTCCCAAACCTCCAGCCCTACCTACAACTTTCTGAAAAAAGGAAAATGGTTTTGGGGGGCCGTGGGGTTTAAATAACTCCCTAGTTGCTGAAAATAAACATAAAGAAGAAAAAGCAAGGGAAAGAGTAAAAATATAGCTTTTGGAAGAAGAAAGAAACTAGGGCAGAATGCATTTAGGTCTTTGAACAATATTCCTTTGCATGGTAGGAAAGAGAAGAGAGAAGGTGGCAAGAGATCGTTGAAGAAAACAAACGTTAAGAACATGGGGTGGGCTGATGGGGCAAGTGTCTGATATATGCTCTGGAAAGTTCTGGTCTGTTCTACTCTCTCCTAATATAGAGTCACATCTGCCCTGTTCATGCAAATAAAGATTCACTGTACTGTTCTAAGTACACGCTCTGAATAGAGGTACACTGTTGCCCCGCACTTCCACTTGTAGGGTAAGCAGGTGATCCTGCATCACCGGGTCCTAAACTACAGAACTAGCGCCCTATGACCTTCCACTAATAACTTCAGGGAAATGAAGAAGGTAAAATTAACCAAGAAGAAAGAAGAGGCAACAACAACAAAAATCTTGTAATAATAGAGTAGAAGAGGAGGAAAGAGCAACAGGCCCTCAAAGGAATAGACTGTTTACCAAATACTTCGCAGAACAGTGTCTTTGTGGTAGCTGCTTGCTTAACTCAGCACGGCCATCACCTCTCTCTGCCTGTCAAGATCCTAATCATTTTTAAAACCCAGTTAAAATGCAACCTCATACACAGAGCCCTGACCAAGCTCTCCCTGTCCAAATGAATCCTTACATCCTTTATGTCCCACAGCCGTTTGCACCTCCATTGTAGGACTGACCACACTCCTGTGTTTGCGAAGCAGGAGTCTCTGCAGCTCCTGGAGGAAAGGCCATCTTGTTCCTCATTGTAACCACCAATGAATGTCATTCAGTAACTCTAAGGCAGCAGGCTTGCGAAATGTTTGAATGAACGAAAGGATAAGTGAATAAACAAACTTATAACTATAGCCAGGGAGAGATAAAATATAGTAGGTGGAGGATTCAGGAAGTTTCCTGTTTTGGAACTGATAGAAAAATGAACCTCACGTTACCAAGATGTCATAATCCTGGACTCATGAGCCATTTAAGAACACAAAATGTAGCAAAGCAACCCACATTAATTTGGTTTAGGATGAAGCGTCTCCCCACTCAACAAGGGTAAAATAATAGTTACTTTGATGGTGTTGTTAAGTAGATAAGGAAAAAATGAAGAGATTTAGATGGCCACTTACCCTGAGCAAGTCAATCAGATTGGACACACACAGTAGGTCCTCATTCCTCAGTGCAACCAGCTGTAACTCTCTTCTCACTTCCACCTTCAGGCCAGCCTACTCTGAGCGCAATTCTCCTCTCCTGTCATTCCATTCTGGAACAGCTCTTCATGATTTCCGGGTCCAACAGCTTTTCCAAAGCTAAGATATACAAAAGAAGCATAAGAAAAACTTTAAAAAGTTCACATCTTGCCCTATATAGCTGCTATCTGGGAAGAAAAAAAAGACAAAAAATTAATACTAGAAAACTATTTTTCTAGGACTGGCTAGCATTAATACTAAAAAATTAATTACTGAGTGATGGAAAATGTGAGAGAGAATTAAATTGAAATGTTAAAACTGTAAAACACTGTAACAGTGATGAGGAACGCCTTTGACAGAATCATCAGTAAACTTGACATAGTCAAAGAAAGAATCGATGAAATTGAAGCTAGCTCAATAGAAATGGTCTAAAATGGAACAGAAAGAGAAAAACAAAACAAAACAAATCAATAACAATAATGCTAACAAACATGTAAGAGCTGTGGCACATATGAACAATCGAACATATGCATACTAAGAATCTCAAAAGGAGAAAACAGAGAATGGTCAGAAGAAATATTTGAAGACAAAATGGCGAAGAATCTTCTAAAATTAATGACAGACACCAAACAATACATCCAAGAATCTCAGAGAATACCAAGGAGGTCAAATAAAAAAATAAAATAAAATAAAACAAAACCCTACACTTATACATTTTGTATTTGTTATTAAAAACAAAAGACAAAAATAAAATCCTAAGTACAGCCAACGAGAAAATCACACATTACACATTTTAAGAAACAAATATAAGAATATAAACAGATATAAGAATATAAACAGACTTCTTATTGGAATATAAACATAAGAATATAAATAGCCTTCTTATTGGAAATTCTACATCCCAGAAGATATCTTTATCACAGAACTATAACTGTAAACCCAGAATCCCCTACTCACAAAAAGTATCTTTGAAAAGATGAAGGAGAAATTAAAACTTTCTCAGACAAACAAGCACTAGGAGGACTTAATGCTGGCAGACCAGCACCTCTATAGGGACAGATACCAAAAAGCAGAAACTCAGGTCTACACAATATGCAACAAACGTGGAACATATGGAGACAAAATAAAATCCATTTTTAATTTAAAAAATCTTTAATTGTTCTAAAAGATAAATTTCAAAGAAAAAATAGGAATCGATTTTGTTTATAGCTTACAGAATAAAATGCATGAAAATAATAGCATGAAAAATGGGAGGGGAAATTGGGAATTTTAAGGTCTTACATTAAATGTGCAGTGATATAATATTATTTGAAAGTAGGCTCTGATTAGTTAAAGATGTATATTGTAAACCCGAGGGTAACCACTCCATTTTTTAAAGGTGTACATAATGTCAATTGTTATTTTATCTATAACTGCACAGATAAAATGGAATCATAAAAAATTCTCAATTAACCCAAGAGAAAGCAGAAAAAGAGAGAGACCAAAACCAGATGGGACAAATTGAAAACAGCTAGCAGGATGGTAGAGTTTAATCCAAACATATACATAATCATATTAAATATGAATGGTTTAAAAATTCCAATTAAAAGACAGAGGACTCTCAGATTGGATAAAAAAAAAAAATAAGACCCACTACACGCTGCGTATAAGAAGCTCACCTTAAATATATACATAGATTATAAAGTGAAAGGACTTGTCTAATTTAGTAGTTTATTTTGTGTGTAAGTGACTCAGCCAGGTAACAAAATCCAGATTTTAGGACTCTAAGAAAAGCTCGTTTTTGAGCATGGTACTTACTATTCATACCACGTATCTATTTTTCTCTGACTCTCGGCACTTTAGAATTTACCTTCTCTACATAACCTCGGTTCACCTACCTGCTCCCCAAAATAATCCACAAACGTATACACAGCTCTTTCTCTGTAACTCGCGGCCACAGTCCTTTTCCATCTCGAGCTCTTGAAACCTTAGGTATTCACTCACAAACAGTTCTAGAAGTGGAACTGGTTCTGCCATCAGTCTCAATCCAAAAACTGTCTATAGTCTTCTTACCTATCCTACTCAACCCCCTAAAATTGTCCTCGAAATTATACTTATTACCTTTTCAAACCTATTTTAAAAATCCAAAACAATATAACACTACAGTAAAAAGTATCTTAAACTAAATGGTATGGATGCCCTCCATACAAATTAAGCTCCTTGAGAGCAAGTTCCATTCTGGTTCATCTTTAAAAGTGTCCACACTGTGCTTTCCAAAACAGGAACTAAAATTATCACTAAACACATAACTCAAATACAGAAAAAGGTGGATGCAAAGCAATACTGATTTTCAAGTGGAAATCTCTTTCACATATCCCTTTGCACAAGAATTCTCTCACTTCCCCACCCATGCCTGTTACTGCTTTCAATTATAGTATTCACCAATTGCTAATGAAAATTAAGAAATTAGTGTTTACCCTTAGAATATAGTCTACAGCCAGACTCCCATCTTAAGAAGGTTGGAATACAAACTATATATCCCTTTAAGTTCAATAAAATAGAATTCTACTGTATCATCTAGGTTAATTTCCCCCTTTCTTAACATCAATAATTGCAAGTGGACTAACTCAAGAGGAAAGCATTTGAACCTTCCGTATCACCCTACAGGAATGGGAGAAAAAAACACAACAAAATATTTGAAAAATACTTTTACACACTAAAGCATAATGGCAGTTTGGGGACCACTAAAGACATTTCTGATTTTCTTCTTTAATAAGGCACATGACTACCTAGAAAGTGGTCTTATCCAGGTGACTAAGCAGCAGCCGTGGCACGATTTCCCGTGTGAATTATTGACAGTCCAAGAGCCCTAAAAGAGAAGAACAGGACATCGCTGCTCTCTAAGCCCAGTGGGGTCAGCCAACTTCCATTTGAAAATGTGCAGATATAAGTGAAACAATGTCTACTTTTGGCAAGTAATTACAACATAGAATTTTACCTAATAGTTCTGCAGTTTGTAAAACTGCAATGCCTCTTCAGAGGACAAAAGTTTTCAGAGGGGAATGGTAAAGTCTGTCTCTGAAACCCAATGGCTTTATAGTCATGCTTTGCTGAAATGGTGTATGTATGCTACAACCTCGTTGCTAAATAAAACCGAAGCTGCCAACTACTATGATCACAGCATCTAAGCAGGGGAGAAATCTGCCAAGAGCTGTAATTTTCTTTAGAAAGCCTTCAAGGAAAGAACATATCTTACCTGGGCTCTGAAGTCCAGCCAGAGTTGAAAAGATAAGGACTTGGAAAATCGATTAGAGAGCAGAAAACGCAAACAGCAAAGTTTTGAGGTTGGAGGAAAAGAATGAGAGATTAGAATGGCTTGTTTAAAGTACTAATACACACCGGGCGATCAGTGGGAGGCGAGGCTCCCTGGCGGACATTCTGAAGGGCCTTATTTGGCAGGTTGAGAAAAGCAGACTTTAATCTGCAGGTAGTACAGAGGCTCTGAAGGCCTTCGAGAAAAATCACTGCTATTATCATCCATTTGATAAATAATGATGTATTATTGCAACTTCTGGTGTTTAAAGGAAATGAACAAATCTCAGGTGAATTGAGGTGGACCACATGAAAGGAAGGATGGAGGAGGAAATGGGAGACAACAAAAAGTTTGGCTTTAGGTTTCATAGGTTTGAGATTTCTAATAAGATGTCCAAAATGAGGACAAAGGGGCAGAAACTTCTTGGGCTGCGCTTCCCCGCATATGTATTACATATAACTATTCCGTGTGTAAGTTTAGACAACACTAGAGATCATACTAAAGGGCAGACAGCAAGCCATTCTCACTTCCATACAACCCAGCAATAATGCAAGGCCTCACACTTGATATGTATGGCTATACAGCTATGTTCATTGAAATGAACATATAGGTGAAGTTTCAAGTAAAAATAATGAAGACAAAAAACTCTTATTTTCTGTTATCACAAATTATTAGCAATGTTCATTTATGTCTGTGATGCGAAAAAAAGGAACCACCATAAGGCTTATATCAGTTCTACAAGCACTATGACATACTGATTCAAGTATAAAGCCTAACAGAAGACAAAATGATAAAATACCCAAGAAGAAAATAACAATGTAAAATCATGATCAAAGAATTTAGTTCCTTGCACAGTAATTTGCTTTCAAAAAGATTTCATATATACCTCCCATTTGCCTCAATAAATCTGAGAACAGCGTATGAATTCCTCTTTTATACGGAAAAAATTCAGCAAAGTTTAGTCCCTCGTTCAACTAGTAGGACCAGGTTCCCAAACCTCATCTTCCAATTTCCAAGCTTAGCTCTCTTTCTAAAACACCACATGGCCCTCACATTTGTTTCCTTGCTAAAAGGTCTCAAGAGATAGTTCAAAGCAATCCTCTGTGGCCAAGTGCTCAACTCATTTCTGAGTTATTATTAATTTTAATTAGTGAAAGGAACAAACTGCTTGAAGCAGAGTTGGTAAAAGAATTAAGAATGACATTACTTTTATCTTTCATACTATACATATGCATTGGTAATATTTGCATTTTCTTTTTCCATTAGGAGTGATGATGTAAAATTGACATCTGTAGCTACATTTTGGTTAGAATAATTTGTAACCCAGACAATAGTCAAAGAGGCCAAGCATACTCTTGCCTCCATCTACTTTTTTTTTTTTTTTAAGATTTTATTTCTTTATTTTTAGAGAGGGGAAGGGAGGGGGAAAGAGAGGGACAGAAACAGCAATGTGTGATTGCCTCTTGCACACTCCGCCACTGGGGACCCGGCCCGCAACCCAGGCATGTGCCCTGATTGCAACTGAACTTGTGACCTTTTGGTTCACAGGCCAGCACTCAATCCACTGAGTCACACCAGCGAGGGCGCCTCCATCTACTTTTGCTGCCCCACTAACTGGGTTGCTAAGATTCTTCTCACAAGCTGCCTCAATCAGTTCCTTCCTTAACATGACGTATAAAATAGCACCACCACAATATGTCTCCCTCTCGAGCTCATCCTGGCCTTGAACTCCTGTCTCCGTCACTTTGCTTTATTTTTCTCCCTGACCCTCTGACCGTCTCCTATCATGCATTTACTTTTTTGTTAATTGTCTGTCTTTCCTACAAGAGCAGTAACTTGCTCTATTTTATTCGCAGTTGTATCAATACCCCCAAATAAATGCTTAGCAAATACTGTTGAGTGGATGGAGGCTAGTATAACAGCCATGTGCTAAAGAAAAAGGAGTTACCCCTCTGTACTCCCCCCACACCGACACACAGTAACCAGGCTTATATCAAGAAATTACACAGTTTGGCAAGCTCTGCTGGGGGTTTGCGCTCACTAAAAGTTATGTGAATGTGCAAAACTCACCCTTAATAAATCTAATCTAGATCTCGGCGGAGCCCTCAATGTGTCATTTCTAGATCTGCCCCTAGAAGGCAGCACATTACAGGATGTATAATGATATTAAACCAGAGATCTATTAAAATGCAGGTTCTCAGGCAAGCCCAGGGATTCGATGTAAGACTCTGCACTCTGGATGATTCTGAGCCAGTGAGATGAAGGCTGAGCTTGGAGAAATACTGGGTATGATGTGGAGTCAGACAGATCCCAGTTACACTGTTCAACAGCTGTATGGCACTGGGTAAAAAACTTCATTTTCTCAGCATCAATTTCTCACCTGTAAAATGGGGATAGCATCACCTATCTTGCAGGGTGGTTGTAAAGCTAACACAAGTGAAGCACCTAGCACAGTGCCTGACATACAGCTTTTGCTCAATAAACGGTAACTACTAGTTTCTGTCCCTTGAGAATCCTCAAGGAAATAAAAGGGGGAGGGGCTCATTTCTTTCCAACAGGTTTGGCTCTCCGTTTCTTTATGACTCAATTTTCGAAAACAAGAACTTCTGCTTAACCCAATATTGGATATCACATTAGTTCCAGGCTTCGCATAAAGAGCCCTGGGGAGAAGAAGGCGGGGAGGGACACGAAGAACTAGACTAGGTACCACAAAGGAGTTTGTAAGTCCTGACTGCTTCTAACTCACCGGAGTCCCCAGCCCATGCAACGCAAGGGCCAGTCTGATATGAGCTTGGGGACACAAGTCCTAGCTCTGCAAATGACTTGCTGTGTAATTCTAGCCAAGGCCCTGGTCCTCTCCGTCTCCTTTCAGGGTCTTCATCTATGCAAGGAAAGAATTTCAACTTGGTCTATGAATCTCCAAGAAGGTCCTGATTTGTACTTAACCAGGCGTGGTTTTTAAAAACCGAGATAATGAAGTCCTCTCCGGTGTCCAGGCTTCAGTTTTCCCATCTGTGGGGGCGAGGGGAGAGAGTAGTGGTGGCAGCTCATTCTCCTGGGTCCTGCTCCCAGATATCTGGGTTCGAGTTGGTTCCCAGATATATGCTCCCACACGCCTCGGTCCGAAGGGCAACACTTTTATCTGCGAGGTGCCGGGACACTCGGTGTGCCGTGTGGGCTGGAGGGCGGAGGGAAGCCCCCAGCCAGAGGAGTGGGGCCAGGATGACGCAGTAGGAGAGTGGGGCTCTGACACTTGCCCGGCCTCCGCCTTTGCCTACCCAGGAAATAACCCCGACCACTGCCGGGCCCCGCCGACGCCTACGGCGACCGTTTGTCCGGGCTTCCTCCCAGCACGCCTGGGACACAGGCCAGGACGACCCTAAAAGCATCCAGCTGACCGCGTGGAGGCCAGCATCGCTCCCTCCCCCGTGCTTGCATCCCCTCCTTAATTCTCACCTGGGCCACCCCGCGCGTTGAGACCCAGCGCAGCGTTCTCTGCCGTGCGGAACGGAGGGCACAAGACCGCACGGGCAGAGGCAGCCCAGTCCTGAGCCCGACTCCCTTTTACCAGCTCGTTCCCCTCCCCGCCCATCTCCCGGCCCCCGAGGAGGCGGGGCCCGGCTGGCTTGGAGTACTGGGCGCCTGGACCAGGTGCGTAGGAGGCGTGCGGAAAGCTAACTCTGAGCTAATGCCGGGGTCGTGGCAGTCACGTGGCACAGTGGGAGAGAGACGCGGCCGCCAGCCAATGACGAGGCCGGACTGGACGGGGTGCCTACCCTGGCCCCTTTCCTCCTCTCGATTGGCTGCCCTGAGCAGAAAGGGCCACGCATCCCGGATTTCTGGGCAGGTCCCTCCCTCGCTTCGCAAGGCGGCGAATCAGCAAGTGAAAGTTCCCAGGATGTCCACCGAAACCCCGAGAGTGTAGCGAGGAAAAAGTGTCCACAACGACGCGGAAGCGCCCTGCTTAGAGCTGTGAATTGCCGCGCGTTTGCTACGTACATCATGTTTATCTCTGACTCCTTGGGACTGGGTACCTTCCCAGCCCGCTTACCGATGGGGAAATAGAGGCCCTGAAAAAAAAAGATCAGCTAGGTTAGAGGCTCTTACCCAGGTGTGACTTAGTCCCTATCGAATAGCCCAAGAGCCAAAGGCTTTTTTTTTTAATGTAAAAATAAATATAAAATGTCGTTCCAATCTTCCTTTAAAACCCTCAGTGGCTTTCTTTGACATTTATATTGTAGATAAACTCAGATCGTCCCTATGCTTTCAAGGCGCTGAATGCTCTAGGCCCGAGCCCCTCCTCTTCACCTCGTATCCCAGCCTCGGCCTGGGAGCCCGACCAGGCGTCTTGTGCCTCGGGCCTCAGCCTAAAGGCCCGCTCTCTCCTCGGCACCGCATTCCCTGCCAGTCACATCCTATTAGGTATGCCTTCTTGATTGAATTGTCATCCAGAACTGTTGGATTTCTGATATTTTATTATTTTTGTATGAGACTGAAATTCAAAGGCCAAAATGTATTGGTAGATTTTTTTGTTTTTTAACTTTTCATGAATAGACAGATATGACTGGAACCTAACAGTACCCAGAAGATTTGACAATCTACCAGGAGACTGCAGAATGACTTTGATGCTTTTGAAAATAAAGCTAAGAAAAGACATCTCTTTCGATGTTCAGCCAAGACTGCACTGGAGTGGGTCTTTTTTCCCCCCACCTTTGAAGAACCTTTATATTTTTTCCAGGGCACCTGCTTTTGAAACTTAAAAATAGATATGGCATTCTAAGTTTGGGCCTCAAACATGTCTTAAACTTCATTTTGATGTTGAGTATACATTAAGCTGTTTATTCTTCTCCCTGTTTGAAGCCTGTGGAGGCCCACTAGGTAGTAATGGGAGAAGACCTGTGAAGGAAGCAGAATGGTTAACTTCCTTTCCTTCCCTTCCCAGTTCCTTCCCTCTTCACAGTCACTTAAGGAACTCCCTTTCCTGTCTAGAGATGATCCTCAAGTTTCTGTCACCCACCAGATTCGAAGCTTGCAGAGTCACAAGCCATTTCAGGAAACCAAAACACCGGGGTTCTACTCCTCACTTGACTCCTTACGACCAGACAATCACTTCATCTCAATGGGCATCAAAGTTCTCACCTTTTAAAGGGTAGTTAATGGCCTGGCCCCAGAGTCCGGGAGAGGGTCAAGTAAGGCAATAGATGTCAAGTATTTTGTCAGCTCATAGGCTGCAAGACAAGCAGGCTGTCAACAACTGTCAATTTCTAGATATTTATTTATAGATGCACAATCTCTTCACATTGATTATATTATTTAATTCTCACAGCAGCTTTTTACAAAGGGAGGTGATATGTTATGATTCTTTGTAGGTGAGGAAAAGGAACAGATGTTAGGTGCCTTGCCGTCAGTCCCATGGTGAATAAGTGATAATAGCATGGGTTTAACCCAGTTACATCTGACTGCAAAGCCCTCTCTTCACCACTACACTCACTATGTTAGTCAAATTTAAGAATCCACTCCAGTGTTTGCATAGGAGAGGCACCAATAAAGACTGGCTCAATTTTATAACGGTTATCATTTTCTTTCTTTTATCCCTTACGTTTTAATCCACATTACAGATGAAGAAACTGAGGCTCAGAATATTAAATTACTTAACAAGATCATGCAACTGACAAGCAGTGGATTTTGAGGTGGCCTTTCGAACTGGGAGCTGTCGGCTGCCAAAACCCAAGAACACGTGTCAATGATCGAAGGCAAGGAGATGGTTCTAGAGAGGAAATTTACATCAGCTTTCAGAGCCTCTCTCCCTTCCAGTTCAGAATCCCAGGCTGCTGTTTAATGTCATGGTTCCCCCCATATCCCCATGGACTCATCTCTGGGGTCTCATGGAACTGAACTGTGGTCTGCATTCCTACCTTACCCTGATCAATGTCTCAGTTCTCTTCATTGGGAATCTAAAAGGTGAAACAGATAACCAAATCCCTGCTAATGGAGAGCTGGCTAAGAACTGACTTTCCCCTGATAACAGCAGGTCAGTAGCCCAGCCAGTCAGAACCCAGATCTCCTTACCTTTTCCATCTAAGTCTGGGCCTTTGTCCTCCTGTTGGTCTAAGATTCATGAGCTGACTGGCATATATTATAGCCATTCCTCTGTCCCAAATGGCTTCCCAAAGAGTAATGAATGATACAGTAAGGGAGTGTTTGGGCAAGCAAATAAGTCATTTCAGGTCAGAGGCCGCTTCGAGATTCACCTCCTTAGCTCTTCTGGACACCCACTATTCCAGGAAAGACAGGTCCCTTCCTCTGAGGCCCCAGAACAGTAGGCCCCGAACTGACTCCCATTATCAGGTGGGTTGTTCCTAATCTGCGACTCTGATTCATTCTCACTGCTATAGGTGTCTGCTTGTTCTTGGAAATAGGTAACATGTGTAAGTAGAATAAACAAATTTTAAAAATCAGTGTTTACAAAAATAAATCTCCCTCCCACACTTCCCATTCTTACCCCAGTGCCCCTCTCCGGCAGCACACTCAGCACCAGCTTCCTATGCTTCCTTCCAGGTTATTCTATACCAGCAAGTCTCAATTCTGGCTGCACATCAGAATCTCTTGGAGAACCTTTAAAAGATAACAACGTCCAGGTCCCATCCCTAGAATTTATGATCACATTGGTGTAGAGTGGGATCAGGCATTGAATTTTTTTTTTAAAGCCTCTCTTCCCAGGAGATTCTAATGAACGCCTATGCTTGGCAAGCCAGTGATCCATGCATATACAAGACCATATATATATTTTATAAAGTGCACACACAATATACACTATTCTATGTTTTTAAAAAATTAATATTATACCTTGAAGATTGTTCCATATCAGTGCATACAGATATCTGGCTATGTATTGTTGAGTAATAAATCACTCCAAACCTTAGTGGTTTCCAATAACAATAATCATTTTGTTATTTCTCATGATTTCTGCGGGTCAGGAGTTTGGTGAAAACTTGACTGGTGGTGTCTCATAGAGCTACAGTCAGAGAGTGGCTAGAGTGGGGACAGGGAAAGGGGGGTGATGCAGCTGAAGGCTGTGTGGACATCTCATGTAGTCTTAGGGCTCCGCCTTGTGTTTCTCTGTGTGAGCCAGGTTGGGCTTCCTCATGCCACGGAAGTTTCAGGGCACTCTGTGCTTAAATGACAGCTAAAGGTCTCAAGAGCCAGCATTCCTACAAGCAAAGAGGATGCTGTTTAGCCTTTTGTGATCTAGTCTCAGAAGTCATATAGCCTCCCTCCTATTGCACTTGGTTGATTGGAAGTGATAAAAGCCTTCCTGACTTCAAGGAGAAGGCAATAGACCCCAAGCCTCATGTGCAAAGTGTCAAAGCCAAGTGTAAGAAGAACAGGTGGGATGGGAAATATCAGTATAACCATCTTTGGCCACGGCGGCTGCATGGTATTCTATTATTTGGGTATACTGTCATTTATTTAAACATCGAGGCAATTTATGTTGTTTCCTTTTCTTAATATTACAAATAGAACTGTATTTTTTTTCTGCCCCCTCTCCCCCAATCCTCAGAAGGGGCTTGGTCCTTCTAGGCCTCTTGTGTCTCAGGGCTACTATGTGGCAGAGCAGGAAGCTACCATTCTCCGGCTCAAAAGGAGATTCCGTCCTGCTTTGGACCTTTGAGGGAAATTCGGATGAATTGTCCTGGAGGGGAAAAAGATGGAGGGCCATGTAGTCAGTGGGGAGGGAGATTTTCGAAACCCTTCCCATGAATGACATGGGGGCCTAGGCTTTTCAGGATCATTGAGTGGTAAGAATCTGGGCCTCTCCCTGCCCTGGGAGGCTGGAGCCATAGCAACGACCCCTCATCCCAGGTAAAGAGCAGAACTTTTGGCCTTTCAGGGTCCACACCAGCTTGGACGAGGGGCACATTCGTGGTAGCAGTGTGGACTGAAGGCCAGAGGGCTTTCCCCCTACTGGACTGAATTAGACCAAGAGGTGTTCACTTGACCCCGGGGTGAGGCAGCAGTCATAATGACTACTAGGATTGAATATCCTGCCAGTACTGTGGGATGGGGCGTTGGAACATATAACATTTGATTTGGAGAAAGAAAAGAAATATGACTCTTACACCTGGGTGGAGCAGAATTCTTTCTTGCCACAAATAGTTAGGTACAGCAAGTGATTTTTTACCTGACACTTCACAGAAATCGTGAGCCCCAGCATCCCAGATTTGTTCTTTGAGCTCGGTGCTGGGGAAGAAGGTCATTCAAAATGGAACATGATCTCTGCATTAAAATATTGGCTCTCCCATTACTTTTTAACTTACACTCTCATATTTTTGAATAGCCAGGACAACTTCTTAAAGAATCAGTAGTTAAATCGTTTTGTCTTTCTGGATAAGTTTTTTTTTTTCAGTTTAGACTATAAGAATATAATCAAGCAAGTATGTAAATATTTAACAACACAAATGTTTATTAAGAATATCAAAAGATTGTAAACAGCCTAAATCATTAACAGTTGAAGTATGTTAAATAAATTATGCTATAGCCGCCCAATGGAAATCTAT